AGCAGGAGGGTAAGTAGCCGGGCCTTCTGACACACTTCCGGTGATGTCAGGGGGTGTGGCCTTCTGTCACTTCCGGTGATGTTAGGGGGCGTGGCATATGCAAATAAGTTATGCTAATGAGTTATGCTAATGAGCTCCGGCAGCTCTTTTTCTACAACAAGACCCCTGGCCACTAGTACTACACAGCATGCCACGAACAATCTGAACGGAAGTCTGTGTGAACTTTGTTACAGTGAACTGGATCTTAGTCACAGCTTTTATGGCACGTGCTGAGGGGTACTCCAATGTATTATCATCTCTTTTTTCACACATAATAGGCTGGCTCAGACTGCTAAGAGGATCTCCACAGTGTGAATGGTTCTGCTGTAACACCCAGCAGACACGCAAGCTTCTTACAACAGTGTTTTCCAGCTGTATACACTGATATACTACTTTTAAAAATAGTATATACTAGGAATAAGGCCCATTGTGGAAATAAATGCAACAAGATCTAGAAAGAGGTTCAAGGACAGTGCCCCGCCTTTGGGCACTCAGTGTCAATTTGCTGTGGTGACCTCAGCAGGGTATAATGACACAGAGTCCACCATTTTCTCCAGAGGAATTGATCTCTGCTTCCTAAAGAGCAGTTTTTAATTTTGAGTGATCTCTAGCCCTCACCTGGAGATTGGCAACAATTGTTACCCAGGATGAAATGGCTGGTTTGGAGGGTGGAGTCTATGGCATTGTACCTGTCTGAGGTCCCACCCCTCCTCAAACCCCACCCTCTCCAGGCTCCACCCCTCAAATCCCCAGGAATTTCCAACATAGAGTTGGCCACCCTATCTCCTTCCCAGTCGATCATCAACCTACCTTTATTTCCCCCTCACTCTTCAGCTTTCCATCTCCCCCCCAGCTGCAGCCTTTACGGTGCTCAGAAGCCCTGACTACTATGTCATACTGGCTGTCATAGAGGGGGCATCTCAGCAGAGTATAAGGACACAGAGTCCACCATTTTCTCCAGGGAAACTGATCTCTGCCATCTGGAGAGCAATTGTAATTCTGAGTGATCTCCAGCCCTCACCTGAATATTGGCAACAATGGTTCCCCAGGAGAGAATGGCTGCTTTAGAGCATAGGTATAGACTACGGGGGGCCTTGGGGCGGAGGCTCCTCCTGAAATTTTAGCTGGGGGACTGAGCCCCTCCCCCCGGGCCCAGGGCAACCAGTGAGTTCCATGCACTGGCCGCACTTATTTTTTACTCCTGAGCGCACACACCAATGAAGTTCTCTCTGGCTGCTGCACTCACAGATTGGGTTTGCTTGGCTCACTCAATTGTGGTGTGTTGCGGGGAGCCTGAAGGAGAGAGTGCACGCTAGAGGTATAAGCTTTCCTGTGGCTTTGAAAACAGTGAGTAGACTTCCGGTGGGGAGGGAATACTAACCACTCAAGGCTATGCTTCACTCTTTGTTTTATCTTATTTTATCCTTTTACTTTTATCCTTCTCATACATTTATACCTTCCCTTTTTAAGCCCCCATCGCTTGTTGTCCACCCTTGCATGACCTGATTTATTGCACTCAGCTGCTTGGTGTCTCTTTTTCTTCACAATTCCACCTCCCCAGCCTTTTTTGAGTGCTGTTGAGAATAGGGTGAGCAGACTCCTTTACTCCTCTTCATTTAATTTTACACTTGCCCTAGTGAGCAGCTCCTCTCTGTCTCTCTCTCAGAGTTTTTGATATTTGAATTTCTTTCTTGCTTTATAAGAATATAAGAACATAAGAGACGCCAATGTTGGATCAGGCCAAAGGCCCATCCAGCCCAACACTCTGTGTCACACAGTGGCCAGAAATACCAGGGGCCATCAGGAGGTCCACCAGTGGGGCCAGGACACTAGAAGCCCTCCCACTGCTGACTTTCTTTCTGTATTGAAGATTTGGTGTTGAGGTCTCCCTATGGTTGGAGCAAAGAAAAGCTTAAAGGCTTTTAGGGGGGTTTCCTCTTGATTACCATCTGAGGACATGCACACAAAAGCTTATACTTTGAATAAAACTTTGTTGGTCTTAAAGGTGCCACTGCACTCAAACTGTGTTCATTTTACTCCCAGTCAAGTTCTATTCCTGCCCCTTACTTTCATCTTTATCACAATTCCCAAGGATGAGAAGAACAGCTGAGAGGGGGAGGGGAAGAACTTAATAGAAAGGAAAAGCCCTTGAGTAATTTAAAACAACTGAGAAAGCAGGGGCAATTTTCAAAGTTAGTGTGACTGTTAAAGCAGCGACTGTTAATTTTCTCCTTCATTCTCCCCATTCTGTTCTGTTGTTTTACATCTGTTTTGTTTTACTTTTAATTTGTTCTCAATGGTCCCGCTCACATGAGGCTATTTGGCCCGGGAGCGGGACAGTTCGGGGGCGGATCAAACCGGCACGATCATACCACAACATCTGGGAAGCGATACGTTCCCCAAACTGCCCCTTTCCCGGCAAAATGCGCCTCAACTTACAACCACCTACCTCGGTGGTTCAAGTGAAAGCAGCGCGGCTAGCCGGGTGTTTGATCGCCAGCGCGTCCTTGCGCCGGCACAACCCCGGTCCGGAGCCAAACTGTGCATGCTCTGATATGCGCAGTTCGGCCAGCTAGGCGTGCGAACTGTGTTTTCTCCCCGGCGTTTGATCGCGCCGGGGAGAAAAGGCGCCGCGGCCAGGGGATCCATGGGATCCCGCCGCGGCGTCTCAACATTGGCGCAGCTTTTAAAAGCCGCGCCTTAAGAGGCATTTCCCCTGCCGTGTGGCAGGGGCCCTGTATTTGTATGCTAATTTTGT